TAAGGTGGGGCCTTTAGGTCCCCCACATCTCCCCCTTTTATTTTTATTTTAAGGCTGGACTGACTTTATTTCACAGGTTACCCATCTCATAGACGGCTCCCTGAGGAGAGATGGCTATCTTCTTCCTCTTATCTTATGCATTTTTGCCTGTCTTAGGTTGTGTCACCTCTGATCAAGCCTTGCCCGTCAATGGATTATGCACCTGGCCATGTGCATGTCCTGTCTTAGGAGTACTTGTCATGGGACATCTTACCCGTCCTTGGCTAAAAATGCGTCATGATTAAGGGCAGCCGCGTGGGTAATTCCAGCCTGTGACAGTCTTAGTCTCTGCCTAACTCGGTTAGCCAAGCATGGGCAACTGGAGGGGGTATATTCCTGGGGGAGTCCATAATCATAAGGAGATGGGCCGTGGAAGTTCCAAGGGTCCTCTGTTGCCGAATTATCTGCTAAAGACACTTAAAGATAAGCATTATCAAGAGAAACAAAGCAAGTCATGGTGTAGGACAAGTTGAAATACTTCTGAGACCATGTTCCTTTTTGCCAATCAGCCAGTTGTCAAAGAGGCTGACTGGCAATGAAGCCAAGGAACTGAGTCCTTTAACTCAGATGGATACAAATAAAGAGAGGAATTTTGTCTCATGAACTATTGTCCATGGACCGTCATGCTAGTCAGTCAGATCCTGGCCTACCCACTTAAGGTTTTTCCATATGGGTTTGAATCTCCTGTAGGGTAGACACAGCCAAAGCCTCGACCCATGGTTAACAATGGATCTGGGCCTCTCCATTGCCTCGTAATGGGATCCTTCCACCTTACCTGTACCTCAGGTCTCTGCTCCTCTCGTCCCCAATGCTTCTGAAACCGGGATTCCAACTGATTTTTTTGAAAATTAAGAACATTAATAGTGAATAAGTCCATACTCAACTGTTGGTGGGGGATTATTCCCCCTTTTTGTTTTTGTAATTGAATTTTTAGGTTTTGATGGTTGCATTCTATAATGGCTTGACCTTGGGGATTGTAGGGAATTCCTGTATTGTGTTGAATTCCCCAAAGTGAAAAGAAATCTTGTAAATTTTTACTCACAAAACATGGTCCATTATCAGTTTTAATTCTTTGGCACAGTCCCAGCATAGCAAAGCACTGGAGAAAATGAGACTGAGCATGTTTAGACTTCTCTTCTGTATGAGCAGTAGCCCAACAGGCATGTGGAGAGTGTGTTGATGGACACAAAAATATACTTAAGCTTTCCAAAAGGAGCATAGTGTGTGACATCCGTTTGCCACAAGGAATTGGGCTTGAGTCCCCTGGGATTTACCCCTGGCTGTTGCAGAGGCGGTACCTGTAGAAAGGGTTGACAAGACTTATGGGTATGTATAATCTTCTTTAGGTCCTTGGGAACTTAAGGAAACCTCTTATGGAGTCCCCGCCAATTTACATAGATTGAGGTTATTGTAACCCCTGAGCTTCATTCAGGCCTGCTGACAGGACCTGGGTGGAAGCCACCTTGTCTGCCTCTGCATTACCTTGGGATAAAAGCCCAGGCAATCCTTGGTGCCCCCTAAGATACTGTAAGAAGAGAGGGGCTTCTCTCTCCTAAGGAGCATATGAGTATGAATACTGTCAGAAAACAATGGCCATGAGTTCCTTGAATTGAGCTGCTTTTTGGTTTCTCCACATCTGCCCCTGTCAGTAAAAACATTGTATGCTTTCCCTAAGGGCTCCCTCAGCCCTGGGATTTGGCGAGCACTGCTGCCGGTGGGGCTGTAACACTCGGGGGCGGGGTGGATCCCCAGCCGCTGGTGGATCAGACGGGACGCCCCCCCCCCCCCCCCCCCCCCCCCCCCAAAAAAAAACCCAGCTGTCCTGGAGCCGGTCACGGCACACCACCAAAGGTGGGGTTTGTTTTGTTTTGTTTTGTTTTAAATGTGCCTGGCGGCCGCCACCAACCACTAGCCAAGGGACAGTCCCCTGCCTGGCTTTAGTGTGGGCCCCTGACTTGCACATGTGTTAGTTCAAGTCGAATAGGGTGCACTTCATTCCGCCCCACCCTTTTGAAAAAGGCATCCATGGGTCCTGTTTTCATGGGTCCCGGGAGGCTCTGAAGCTGGCCAGGGCATGCCCGAGGTGCGCTCGTTGCTTTGGCTGCTTTTGGTTTCACTTCTGTTGCATTTCCATGTTCTTCCTCAAACTCTTCCCATGATTCCCATGTATCCCAGTAAAAACATTAGCCCCAAGTAGCCAGGAAGCCAAATGAACAGCCGGTGCCCAAACCTTTTTAGCTACTGGATCTGACAGATCCAATCCCTGCTTTTAAGCATATCTCTCAGCGCTTTAAGCGCTGGGTCCTCAGACTTATTGATTGGGTTACCCATCTTTCGGGTCTCGCTTATCCCGAACTTCCCGATTGGCCCCAATCCGTGTCTCTTCTTTCTTTCTTTTCTTCTTTTCACCTTCTAGCGCCATGCTGGACGCCAGTTGCGGGGGGTTCAAACCAGCGACCCCCACACAGTGATGATTGGGGATGAGTAAGCATGCCATTCGCCAGCCCATGCTGCCCCCAGTACCAGGGACAATCAGACGCAATGGGGAGCCTAGTCAAGCACGGACTCATTTATTGCAGGTGTTACAGAGCTTATAAAGGCACCTGGAAATCACCCCTCCCCCCCAGGGTGTATCTTAAGGATGGTCACGTGCTGATCACGCACTCCTCAGCAGTGCGGAAGTATTCTAAAGACTTTCAAAGCAAGTCAGGCTGTGCCCCAGTAACTTCCTCTCGGACTTCTGCAAGATGGGGCCTTTAGGTCCCCACAATTTTCCTTGTGGTTTTGTGTATTTAGTTGTAGATTGAAGAATCTCTTTATGCAGACAACAGCCAGGTTGCTATTGTACTATTCAGGTGTGATGTATTTATGAACAAAAAACTTGGCTGCATGGTAATGTGGAAATGAGGATGAAGTGTTAGAAAAGTGGGATGAGCAACATTAATAAGCTACATACAAGAGAGAAAAGAGGAGCCAAACGTATATTTTTAGGATTAATAACACAGTATCTTCTCTAGAGGAAATGTATATATGTATTTCTGCACATAGGTAAGTGTAGTAAAATGGTGATCCTGCAGCCATCCCTTTTGCTCCACTAATCATTTCCTATATTACCATTAAAATCACCTCATTTAAGTTCTTAATACTTGCTATTAGCTGACAACCATATGCCTACTACAAGGGATATATCACCTGTCCTGCTCTGTCAAAATACCTGAGAAAATAACTTAGGGTGTATTTTGAGAGATGCATTCTTCAAGTGTATATCTACAAGGACCCCCTCCATTTCCATCTCACCTTTTTTTAAGTTTCACCTTCTAGTAGCCCATCAAATTAGCAGTCCATCAGTCAGTTATCCATTACAATAGGTCAGCATTTTTGGTTCAGCCACTTCTTAAAAGTCTTATAAGTTGGCAACCAAGCCTTAGTATTTGGTGTTTGGTGACATTTTAGATTCAAACCATGATAAGTAAGTAGTAAGCATGTATCAGTGGAGAAGTTAGAGATTTGCCTTTAGGGAAATTAGTCTGTTAATGATAGCGGGTATTTAAATGGAGCTTTCTAAGTGTTAATCACTTTTATAAGCTTTTGTTGTAAGCTCTTTTTAACCCAAACCCTCTCAGTAACTTTATGAAGTAGCAATTAGTGTATCTTTTACATGATTGAGAACGCTATGGCACAGATTGACATGCTTAAAGTCAACAGTAGCTCCAGAATTGCAACCTAAGTCACAAAACTTTGCTTTTAATTACTCTTCTGTGTTGCTAAAACAAGAATAACTTAAAGGAAGACGTCTTTATCCTCAGAATGCACTTTTGGCTGTCACAGTATTAGAACTAGAGCCAATTCTTGCTTTCTGGGCTCGGTGACATACACCTTTAGTCCCAGCACTTGGGAGTCAGAGGCACGTGGATCTCTGTGTTTGAGACCAGCAAGTGGTCTACATAGTGAGTTCCAGGCCTGCTGGGGCTACAAGGAGACCCTGTCTCAAAAAGAAAAAACAAAAACAAAAACTAGAGCCAATTCTTTACATTCACATCTGTGTTGTTATCCTGGAAGGATTTGAGTGGCTGCAGGTATAAGTTCGAGTCCTGACCTTGTGAAGCAGACAAGAATCAGGAACATGGCCACAGGTGCTCACAGTCTTATGAGGGAAGTGGGGACTGCTTAGAAATCAGTATGGCTTACCATAGGGTAAACATTATTTAAATTCAGCATTGAATAAAGTATGTGTCAAAAAGTTACTAGAAGTGTAGAATTATAACTAGATTTTTTTAAGATTGACATTGATATGTAAATGTTGTATTTAAACATGCAGAGAGTAGAGAGAAGAGTGATAATGAAGCCAAACATTTACTAGACACCGAAACTGTGGAGTTGGTCATTTTAGCTAAGGGAGGGGCATGCGAAAAGGCTAGTTGTGAAAAATATTTGGGTCCTTTTATATCTATCCAGGCAGATTAAACTTAAGTTGACAGTAGAGACCTGTTAAAGAAGAAAGCACTACTTTTGGACATTAATTTTTATTTTTGACAGGGGTAGGTTAGGACTCATGAATTGAGCATTTCACACATATTAGGGAAGGATCTCCTTTTTTATTGTTTTATTTTGTGGTCTTTTTGACACATCCCTGTAACCACTGCTGGCCTAGAACTCGCTATGTTTACCAGGCTGGCCTCAATCTTACAGAGATCCACCTGCTTCTGTCTCCCTAGTGCTGGGAATAAAGGCAGCAAGCCTGACTTGATGTGAAAGGCTGAATTTGTGGTGATGTTCATTATAGAGTGTTTTCTTTTTAGTGCCTTTTTTTTTTTTTTTTAAAGATGCACATGCGTTTCTAATCTCTATATATCTGATTATTACTAGTTAACAGTCGGTTACTTTGTGAGCTCCATGGCAGTTGAGCTCGCTAGAGAAAGGCCTTGGGCAGGGTACTAAACTGACTTTTCATAACCATCCAGGGCCACCCAGTGCTCCTGCAGAAGACCGTTCAGGAACACCTGACAGCATTGCTTCTTCCTCCTCAGCAGCACATCCACCAGCGGTTCAAGCTCAGCAGCCTCCATATACAGGAACTCAGACACAAGCAGGTCAGATTGAAGGTAAAATAGAGTTTAGACTAAAACCCATGTGTGGGAAGAGTCGTGCAGTAATATTTACTGGGGCATAATTGGTAATGATAAGCCACTTACATAGGTAGTCAAACTGTCTACACATGTCTACTGACAGCATGATTTAGTGTTATAAAAAGTTAAAAATAAGTAATTATAGGTACAGAGAAAAAGATTGGGAAAAATAACTTTACACATTCCCCTCCCAAAAATGCACATTTTTTTTTAATTTAAAAAGATTTTAAATAGAGATGAAGTAAAATTTTAGTTGAATAAGATTGTTCTAAAATGCTATTTACATTTTCGTTTAGTTAGCATTGTAACTAGTGGAAAATAGCAGTGCATTTTTAAATCAATTTTTTTCCTGCAGATAACGTGTTCTTGATAATTTAATCCCTCTCACTTTTAGTTTCTCTTAATCATAAAATTATGAAAATTGGACTAAAAACAGTGGTTTCAAATATATCTCATTAAACCTGAATGAGATATAACTTGAAAGTTCAGTATTTAAAGCAGGTAAAGGGGTCATTTCTGTGTTTGAAGGAGCTCAGGACAGCAACTAAGGAGCCTCGTTGACACACTTAAACTCTGCAGACCATTGTTACAGGCATACTGATCTTTAGAGTAGCTCCTTGATATTATGACATTATTTCTGTGAGATGCTCCTGCATGCTAGGATTCCACTTGAAAGCAGTAAACACCAGGGGGTGCTCTGTGTATACAAAAGAGTCAAATGATAACTGTACCCTTTTCCAGCAGCATCAAATTAATACTATCTGAATGCATTTACTTTGGAGTGGCTTTAATTATATGCCTTGCTACATACAGCTGTTACATATAGCTTGTATTTAAACATATGATTTAAAAATGAATAGGTAATGTCATGAGTTAAAGGATTAATAACTGATCTATATGTTATCTCTAAATTATATGTCATATATAAAATTTGCTGTTAGCTGCTTTAAAACTTTTTGAAAGGTACCATCAGTTTTCATAATTTATTTAGCCCAGTGTATCTAGTATTATCAGTATGTACTAGTTTAGGAAGGGTGTTTTGAGTATTAGAAATATGAGCTGTGATGATTTGAAACCTTTCAAACAATGTACAAAATGTCCCAATTCAGACTAGTTGCTATTCAGGTGCCCATTTGCTACATATGGCTAGTGCCTTTTGTTTTAGGTACAGTTTATAACTCAAGATAAATGATGAGCTGTAGGCTGCTTCAGTGAATACTTTTGACATAGAATACATACTGAGTCTCAGTCGTTGCCAGTTATTTAGATCAACTGCTGATTATATATTTTGAGCAGTATTATCAATAGAAACCATGACTTACAATTGGTAAATATGATCTCTTATTAAATTAATGATTCAAAATAAAATTAAGAAGTTCAGCCAGGCATGGTGTTCATGCCTTTAGTGCCAGCACTCAGGCAGAAGGCCGAGGCACATGGATCTTTGTGAGATCGAGGCCAGCATGTGTGAGGTCCTAAGGCCCTACTTTCACAGACTCTATAGGCCGTATTTTGTGTGTATAAGTACAGTAAGTTTTTTTTAAAAAGTACATAGCATGTTCGAAATGCCATACTTAAGGGCATACATTTCCTGAGCTCCAAGAAATATATTACAATGTACCAACAGCTGTTGCTGTTTTATTGTTTGTTTTCTTATCTGTGATAGTCCTTTATATGTTATGATACCTTACACTCTTTAGTTTAATATGTTAAAAACATCTCACTGCTTTCATAAATAATAAACAAAAACACTATATTAAGTGTGAAAAAAGTAAGCAATAGAGACAGGCTATCTATGTGAGTTTGACACCAGTCTGAGAAGTGTGTCATTAAGCAATTTTATCCCAGTATAAATGGCATAGAGCATGCTGACACAAACCAAGATGGCTACAACATAGCTGTATGCAGGCCATGCTTCACTGAAACATAGATATGTTGTAAGTAGCAATTAAGGGGAAAAAAAGAAAAGGGCAGTGCTAAAACAGGTACCCCTCCTCTTGGGATACTGTGTCTGATTTGGTAGTTGCTAAAAAACAAATAGGTGATGATGAAAAGAGTGCTACATGGTGCTGAGATAAAAAGGATACAGTTAAAATCTGTAAAATCACATAACCAAGAATTTATCTGTTTCTTCAGTTTTTCTTTTCTGATTTTCTACTCTTGATTTTTACTGAACATTTGTAGTACTTATCTGATGGCATATAGTTTTGAAAACATTAGGTTTTCTGGAATTTGTGAAGTGATAGCCACTGGAATTTTATCAGAGAATATTTAGTGCCAACTAGAGTTCTTAGCAGTTTATCCACAGTGGAACAATCATCCTTCTTAAATTGTTCATTCTTCTCTTTATAGACATTTAAAGGATTACAAATGTATTGTGTAATCAGTGAATTGAGAGGTAATAGAAATGTGCCCCTAAAATGCTTCTCTCTTCCCAAGTTCAACCTTCCGCTTCCCTTGCATTTTCTTTTTAGGTCAGATGTATCAACAGTACCAGCAGCAGGCTGGCTACAGTGCACAGCAGGCTCAGGCTCCACCTCAGCAGTATGGTATTCAGTATTCAGGTGAGCAGGTCTCAAAAAAGAGTTAATTTATTGTATATTATCTCTTTTTATATTTGATTCATAATAGATATTACTTATTAGGGGAAACAACATTTATTTATATTTAAATTTTTACAAAAATACTAATTCAGCATTTCATTTTTATAGTGAACAAATATGATGTAATTAGATAATTCTGCAGTAACCTGTAGTATGAAAATGTTTTACTACGAAGCTGTCTCTTACTAACATCAACAGTTTAACCTCTCAAATAACTTAGAATTGAGAAAAAAAAATTGAAATTTTTTTTCTATTTCTATGTAGCACATAATTTCAAGGGACTCTTAGTACCTGTAGATATATAAATTGTTCCTTCACACATACAAAAGCAAACTTACTAAATAAGCACTTATTGCCTAGGTATTTAAGTCTATTGGAAGTATAGAATTATATGCATGGAATACCACAAATTATTTACAGTAGAATTCAAGCAGTTAAGAATATTTAGTTGTTTAAGCTAGTCTGCCAGAGCTAAAGATACACAGTCACCATCTGATCTAGAGAATTTCAGCCCTCAGTGTATCAGAATCCCCCAAGGAGCTTCTTGGTTTCTGGGCCCCACTCCCATAGACATAGTATTTTTGTTTTAGTTTGACCATCTGTCTACTGAAGATTATCTGCAGTTGAATATGATAAATTTCTTTGGTGTAGCTTTTGTTTTCATTCAGGTAATTTTTTCAGTTATGTCAGTATTTGTGCAACCCTTATTTTGTAGTCTTAGAAGATATAACCATTGGCCGGGCATGGCGCACACATCTTTAATCCCAGCACTCGGGACACAGAGGCAGGCGGATCCCTGTGAGTTCAAGGGCAGCCTGATCTACATAGTGAGTTCCAGGACAGCTGAGGCTACAGGGAGACCCTGTCTCAAAAAGACCGAAAAAAAAAAAAAAAAAAAAAAATATACCTATCAAAATACCAGTTGTAATAAAAGTAATTTTTGTAAATTGAATCTTAACAAATTCTGTTTTAGGGTTTTGTGTTACTAACTAAAGTATAGGTCAGCAAATTATGGCCTACAATATATCCTGACAGTTGCCTGGTCTTGTGAAGAAAGTTTTATTAGGAAATGTCTACCCTGTGTATTTTTCTGTTATTCATTGCTATTGTACTTTGGTACTGTACTGACAGAGTTGAGTGAGCAGTTGCCACAGTGACAGAAACAATGTGGCTCATAAAACCAAACATATTTGCTATCTGGCCCTTTGTAGGAAAGAAGCTGAACGTTGACCATTTTTTTGGTGATGAAAGTTGCTGACCTAGATCACCAAAAAAATTTTGTCAGCAATTGAAGTTGAGATATTTTTATACATACAGCAGTTTTGTTTGGATTATGTTTGATGTAAAGTGACCCTATGGTGATACATTTCATGGTTTAAAGTAAATGGAGAGAACTTAGAGTAAAAGGAATGTTGTCCTCTTAAATTTTAAAAAATAATTTGTTACAAATGATGTAACTTAGAGAAATAAGCTATCAGAGCTGAAGCAGTGAAGTCATCTTCTAATCTAGATTTCAGCCCTCCTGATGCTGCAGGATCACCTGAAGAGCGTCTTCATACCTAGGCCCCACTGCTAGAGACTTATTTGGATGGCAGCGGCTTCAGTATTTGAAAAGCACTGTAGGTCATGTGCAGTCTGGGTAGGAACCACTGGTGTCCCACTCACTTTATGAATGAGATTATGAGTTTTTTTAAGATGTGCAGATAGTCAGTGAGGGAACTGAATAGAATCTAGCTCTCTTGACTTTGTATTTCAGTACTTCCTATACCATTATGCATTCTCCAATCTAGACAAGAGTTGTAAATATTTTAGACTTTGTTGTAAGCAATTTATTGATTTAAAAAAAAAACAAAAACTGGGGCTAGAGAGGTGGCTCAGCAGTTAAGTTCACTGGCTGTTCTTGCAGAAGACCCAGGTTCAAAATCCCAGCACCCACGTGGCAGCTAACAACTGTCCGTAACTCCAGTTCCAAGGTATCCAACAACCTCTTCTGTCCTCCGCAAGCATTGCATGACACGGGAGCACCTACCTACATGCAGGCAATATATGCATACACATAAAATAAAAATAATAAAAAATTTTTTTTTTTAAACTAAGCAATTTCCTTTTCTTGGAATTTGAGATACTCTTCACCCAGAGTTACTCATTTTTAGGGGCTTGGGGGCAACAGTGCCAACAACTAGACAGAACAGAAGCAAACAGTCACACGAGATAATTTAGATTTCAGTTACTAAATGAAAAGACAGTTGTTTTTTTCCTCTCAAATGAAGTATACATTTTCATTGTAAAGTTATATCCATATGTTCCCTCAAATTTACATTAAAAAATTAAGCTTTAAAGTTTTGTGTAAGAACTGAAGACATTCTGAGTGTGGTGGTGGCATGCCTTTAATCCCAGCACTCAGGAGGCAGAGCAGAAAGGTCTGTATGAGATCAAGGCCAACCTAGTCTACATAGCAAGTTCTAGGCCAGTTGTGGTTACAGGGAGACCTTGTCTCAAAACCACACACAAAAAAGGTCTGGAGACATGTCTCAGCATTTAAGAGCTCTTGCTGCCTTTCCAGAGGACCCAAGTTCAGTTCCCAGCACCCATATCAGGCAGCTCACAACCTCCTGTAACTTTAGCTCCAGGGGATTTGGTACCTTTTCTGGCCTTACAAACATCTGCATTCATGTACACAAAACTATACACAGCCACACATGTACACACAAAAACATTTTTTTGAGTTTTGAGTAGAAGAGAGGAGAAATGATATTTGAGATCTTACCATAAATTTTAGTTCAGTATTCAGATATTACCATAAGTAAAATGTTTTAGATACTTGATATCTAACCTTTTATTAATTTTAGTCAGGTTTTTTACTCAAGTAAAATTTAGTCCTTTTGAAATTATCTTTGTATTTCTGATCCACTAGTCCTATTTACTTGATTTTGAGAGATACGGAAATAGTCAACTAAATACATGGAGACTCTTTAGTGGTGGTGGTGGTTGGTGGTAACATTGAATGATCTTTTACCCTGTCGGTTTGCCAGTTTTTCCTCTGACCTTTTTCAGTTTTGTTCATGGACTATATCATAAAGATTTCTTTCATAAGTAAATTTTGAAACCAGGTTCAAGGTGAGTTCAGAATATACTCCAATTCATTCAATCCTTTTTTTTTAAATGCAGGGTTGTACATATTTTAATAATTGTCTTATGTATCTGGTATTTAATGCTGACAGGATTCCAGTCAATGGAGAGTTTTCATTGCAAGTAGCTGCAGGTGTGTTTCATGGTAGACATAAAAGTTTTCAGTGAAGCAGATTTTTTTTTAATTACACCCTATTAAATAATGAATGTAGATGTTGATTTTGTGGGGCAATATATAGTATTTTTTGTTTGTTTGTTTGTTATGCCATAAGGCAAAAAGCATCAGATACCAAATATAAAAGATTTTAAGAATTGTGGAACTGGTATTTATTCTTAAATGGCTTAGGTATTGTAGAGTGAATAAACTTCAAATACTTGATTAGTATGAAAAGATAGTATTTGTAGTATTGCTTCATTTAAAACTTAATCATTCTCTGTAATGTGTTTTTACCTGGCCTCCCCTCAAAATCAGATTTAATTACTGCTTTTAAGATTTTCATCTTCCTGGAAAGCATAATCCTTTCATTTATCATTTGAGCATCTATTCTATTCTAGGAATTATGTGAAAATAGGAATTTGTTCTCAAGGGCTATGTAGTCTCAAAGCATTTGTAATGAAAATATTAAAATATGTGTATAATAATTTCAATTTAAGATTAGTGGATTTAAAAATTACCTAGAAAATTCCCGTTTTATAACTACTTGTTCTTAAGATAATTGATAATGGAATCTGTCACTCAATAAATGTTTGTGGATATATTAAATTCTTAATCATTTTTGGTCCAAAGCAGTAAGACTAATTCTCTGGAAAACTTCTACCAAAAGAGAACCAAGGTACATATGTTACTTATTTTGCCTTTTCAGCTAGTTACGGCCAGCAGACTGGACCCCAGCAACCTCAGCAGTTCCAGGGATATGGCCAACAACCAACTTCTCAGGCACCAGCTCCCGCCTTTTCTGGTCAGCCACAACAACTGCCTGCTCAGCCACCACAGCAATACCAGGCGAGCACTTACCCTCCACAAACTTATACTACCCAAACATCTCAACCTGCTAACTATACTGTGCCCCCTGCCTCTCAGCCTGGAATGGCTCCAAGCCAGCCTGGGGCTTATCAACCAAGACCAGGTTTTACTCCATCTCCTGGAAGTACCATGACCCAACCTTCCAGTGGGCCTAACCCTTATGCACGTAACCGTCCTCCTTTTGGTCAGGGCTATACTCAACCTGGACCTGGTTATCGATAAGGAGCTTGAGCTACACTGATGAATGTAGCTGAGAGCTAATTGGCTCCCAAAAGACTCCAATACTATTTTGTTTTGATTTGTATTGAAGTTCAAAAATTTTAAAAGCAAAGCATTTTTATGATATCATTGTTGCTGATAATTGAAAGTATAATTTGCCAGAACACACACAAAATGACCAAATAAATATTGTTTCTCCCTTGCTTAAAAATGTAGCAGCTTCCTAGCTATTTTGGGACACTACTCTTTACATGTGTGTCAAGTGATTGGCTTTCTAGCTTCCTTGTCCAGAGGATATTCAAAAGCTAGGTTAAGGTTTAGCCAGCATACCTGGCTTTTTACTGTTAACATGATGTACTAAAATAGAGCCTATCGAGAGGATGACTAGATATTATGTATAAAATGTAACACTGATAGGCTAATAAAGGTGATTGAATCCAATAGTGGTCTTGTAATTTAATCATTAATATTTCGTAGATAAGAAAAATAATCATTTTACAAAAATCATTGCTAATATGTGATCATCAAAGTTTATGAACATTTTAACTTACAGGTTTCCATTCAGGGAAAGAAATGAATT